GGTGAGAATCTAAAGGTTCATTTCTTCTTAACAAAAAGGATGATGACTATCTTATTTCTTTTTTCCTTCATAATATGTAGCTTAAACCTTCCCTCTACAATTATTAATTTGCCTTTATACTTGTAATTATTCAATTTGTTGCTTGAGGGCAAGCAACGTTTAAGTGTGAGGAATTTGATAAGTCCGTTTCGTTCTTATCTTTTACATCATATTCTAAACGTTATTGCACGTAAATAGTATTTAATCATCTCATAAAATGTGGTTTTAATGGATAACACTCTCATTTTCGTTCTAAGAGTCATAAAATGGGATTCCACATGAAATCATCATAAATCATCCATTTTTATTCAAGTATTTGAGAAAAGGGGAATAAATCATCAAAGGATCAAGATTCGGGCTTGAACGAGCTTCCGGGAGGTCAAAAACAGTGTTCGGGGCCAAAACGGAGCGAAATTGGGCCAAAATCACGAATCAGCCGCGAAGCCCAACGGACCAAGGCCTCCAGGCGTCACCCTTGGACGCTTGGCCAAGTTGGACGCTTGGGAGTTGCACGCCTTGGCTGAATTGCAGCCCAAGAATGACACGTGGCAAAATCTGGTTGGCCGAGACAGCTCAGGCATCCAGATCTGGACGCTTGGACTTGGACGCTTTGACTTGGATGCCTTGGATCCATTCCTATAAATACAGCACGAATCTTCTCATTTTTATCATCCCATTCCATCCCAACTTCGGGATTTACATATCCCGTCTCCATTTTAGCTTGTATATTAGTTTTAATAGTTAGTTTGAAGTATTTTCGGAGGTTTTGACTCCAGATCTGTTCTGTTCCGCTTTTACGGAGGTTGTAAGTTTTCTTTATTTAATAAAATGCTATTTTAATTTATGTTTGCATAGTATGAGTTAGGGCTAGTTTGGTTGTTTACTTTTTTGATGTTAAATTAATGTTGGAATGGTTAATCTATTGTTCTTGTCTTATTTAGTTAATTATTCTCGAAAGATTTAATTAACTATTTATTGAGAAGATATTGTATGCTAAAAGGCTACGATATTCAAGTGCAACAGATTAAGTAAAAATCTAGAAATGGATGAGTAGTAATAGAAATATTATTATTCCAATTGTTAATTTAATATGATAAAATAGATCCAAATGATGTCCTGACCCTAGGTCCAGATCTATACTTATACTATGTAAACTTAATTTATTATTTTTTTACTCTGCTCCTTTTATAATCGTTTCGAGAAGACTTTCATAAACCAATCCTAATCTTCGCCTAATTAGAGTAATTAAACTAATTCCCTTTGTCCACTCCTCGAGAGATACGACACTCGGAGAGAAAACTAACCCTTTACTAGGAAGGTTTACTACCCGAAAAACTACAACTGTCAAACCACCTTTCGTTTTTGGTCGTTTAGTGAAAATCATGCGAAACGGCGTAAACGTGGCTAGCCGTGGTTTTCAACTAAATGACGTGGTTTTCAAGATGTTTTACTTGATTTCTTAGAAAAATGCATTAAAAAAATGTTTTCAATACTTGGTTTTTATTTTGGAGAACTTACATTTTTAACATCGGCTAACGGCATGACTAAACCAACCATGGGCTGAACCAGCCCAACAGCGATGTTGGTGTAACCTACAGCGCTGTCTAGCATGGGAAGCTAAAAACCATGGTTTGGCGTTAAGTCTTCCAATAGCGATGTTGGTTGTTAGACATCGCTGTTGAGCCAAGGTTGGGTTTCCAGAAACATCTGGAACAGCGATGTAGCCTTTCCTACATCATTGTCCAACCTAAGCCAAAAACAATTACACTGGCAGAAAGTTTTTGGACAGCACGGGTGTCCCAGTAACAGCGCTGTCTAGCCATTTCTTTCACTTTCAAGTCAGGCCTAAACAGCGATGTTCAAGAAATGAACATCGATATAGGCACCTGACCGTTGGAAGGAATTTAAGGCTAGAACTTTCCTTGTTTGGAAGTCAACAGCCAAAACAGCGATGTAGAGGTTTTGAACATCACTGTTGGCATGACCGTTGCTTCCCATTTTTTGAAAACCAAACCTAGAACAGCGATGTCCAAGCCATGGACAGCGCTGTCTTGGTGAATTTCAGCAGATCCAATTTTAATCAAATCCCACAAATTGTGCGAATCACCCCTTAAATGTTTTGATCCGTTGGAGCCTATTTTTCCACTATAAAATGGGGTGTTTGGGTCTGTTTTACATATCACATTACTTCACAACTCCTACTTTTTCATTGCAAATCATTCATTCTTTATTCATAGCTTTTTGAGAGCCATTTTTGTGAAGCTTGTGTTGTGTTCTTGAGCGTTCTTAGTTACTCATTATCCACTCTAAAAGAGAGTTTAGTTCTTGAGTGATTTAGTGTTCTTAGACACTTGACAAGAGAATATATTTCTCTTGTTGTTCGAAGGAAGGGTTGTTTCCTTCGAAGGTTCGTTGAGGTTCGTGTGACTCGAACTCTCAAGTTGTACGGGTTTGTTAATGACAATTGTAGTTTTTCGGGTAGTAAACATCAAAAAATTAAACAACCAAACTAGTCCGGACCCAGAGATCCGGACCCTAACTCATACTATGCAAACATAAATTAAAATAGCATTTTATTAAATAAAGAAAACTTACAACCTCCGTAAAAGCGGAACAGAACTGATCGGGTGTAGAATTCTTCCAAAAATACTTAGAAATAATAACTAAACTAATATATAATGAAATATTGACTAAAATAGTGGAGAAACCCGAAATGGGTTGAGAGATGGTGTGGAATGAATGAGAGGAACGCTGTATTTATAGGGCAGGAAGTACGGGCGTCCAACTTTGGACGCCCGTACCCAAAATACGTGTTCCGTCCAGTCGCGTTGTGCCGCGTGGCAAGGCCGTGTCACTAGATAGCTTGGGCGTCCAGCCTCTTCGGGAGTCCAACTTTGGACGCCCAGGACCCAAATCCAGCGCCCAATTTGCTTCCAATTGCGGTTTCTCGTGATTTTGGGCCCAAAGTTGTTCCGCATCGGCCCAATTGGCTCCCAGACACTGATTTCTACCTCCAAAGTATTATGATCTTTAAAATCTAAAACTTTTTATCCAATTTGTACATAAAATTGACAAATCTACTTAATTTAATTTAGAACCTGTATTTTATTCTTCTTGAGACAAAACATCAGTTTTGTCACTAGTAGACACTTTCAATGGGTAAATTTATTACTATTTTCGTGCAATAACGCTTAAAATATGTAGAATAAAATAAGAACAAAATGAACTTATCAAATTTCTCACACTTAAACGTTGCTTGCCCTCAAGCAACAAATTGAATAAGTTAAGTATGAAAACAAATTAGTAATCACAGAAGAAAAGTTTAAGTTACACAACTTGAAGTAAAGGAAGGATAAGATGGTCATCAACGTTTTTATGTGAACAAATAAATTTATAGACTCTCACCCATATTGCTAGAAATTTGAAAATACTTTGTCAAACCAGTTTTCTTACCCAATTAAATCAAACTAAACTCTAAATTTTCATTGGGATAATCATATTTCTAAGGATTATTTTAAAATCAAAAAGAGTTTAAAAGCTCTAAAAAAATGGATTTCCAAAAAGGTTTTCGTCAAACAATAAGGGCCTATTTATTTTATTAAACATTATTTATCGCGAGAGAATTCTCGAAATGGCAATGCATATTGCATTACTGAGATTGTGGATTTATTCTATGACAAATGCATACTTGCTCCCTCGCCTTATGCGATTAGCGGGAGAAGCAGAGCCCCTTTACGGAGATAGAATTTCCAATTCGTCACTTAAGCGCAATCCCAATAAAATTTAAACCATTAGAATATTTTTATATAGACCCTTATATTTAAAAAAAAACTTTATGAGAAATGACATTTTTAAAGAGGCTATTTAAAACTTGATTGATCTAAAAAAACTTAGAAAATACTAATGTATCCCAAATGATTTTAGAAATCGTTTGAATAAAAAATTAGGGACAAGAATAAAAGTTTGACAAAATATTTAAAAATTCCCAGTTTTTATGGGTGATAACTAAAAACTTAATTATTTAAACAAAAGAGTTGATGACCATACTTATAAAATCTTTACCTACA